CATGAACTGGTCCAAAGTCTCAGCAGTCTGCATCACAAGACCCACGGGATGAACTCCTACCATTGGACTTAACAGACACCACATTAAACTGTCCCTGATGATCTTTTCTTTATGCCCATAGATCAGTACATCTCTCAGCCCTCACCAGAGAAACTTCTGTTTTTGCAATAGATGCTGATTAATGCAGCGTTCTATAACTGGTCAGTGTGCAGAGAATAAGAGACTGTGGAATCCATTTTTCTTCTAGAACTATTACATTTTTCATACACTGTCTTATAAATTTTTGTTTATTTCGATGCATAGATTATCACTGAAACTTGAATGCTCATGCTGATGGAACTTTCCAGGGCATAACCTCTGTTCCCTGTTCCACATTAGTATACAGTTACTGTCCATGGACGTTTAACATGTAATGGACATCAATCTGAATCAGGTATTATATTGTCCGGTGTTGACACAGACCAGGTCTTTAGAAGAGTGGCAGCAACATTGAACTACAAGGCGTATGAGCACACATCTGTGCATGTTGGTGACAGAAAACACAAAGATCGCTCTCCAAGGTCTTAGACCCTAGTGCATGGCGATCGTGTATGCTGCTTAAAGGCTCCGTGAACTGTTTGAATGCTCGGTTAGCGAAAAAGCAGCTACAAAATTAGAAGTGGCCTTATCTTCGAGGACACAATAGGACGTCCCTGTGTCAGTCAGAAGAGGCCTGTCCAGCTCTCCCAGATCGTAAGAGCTCACCACCCATTCACAGGAAGGAGCGAGAGATGTCAGTGCATGAGTGGAAAGAAGTGTCCACAAGCAGAGCTTCAGACTTCTGGATTTCTGAGTCAGATACCATTGTGCACAAATTCCCAGAGCTTCATCTCGACTCCTGTTCAGGTGCAGCTGGTCAAGTTCCTACCATCCTTCTTCCCACTCCTTTTTCCAGTGGGGCCTCTGCACACTGATCCTGCTCATCTTCAGCGAGGCTTTTCTTGCATTACCATGACTATCCTATCCTCTCTTCTGATTCTCTCTTCTTCCCGGACTGTTGTTCTTCATAAGCACTGGATTTATTTATTTCATCCCCATGGCACTGCAAATGGACACTAGACAGACAGACATGCTAAACAAGGAGTTTGTTGCTGATCTACATGTTTAGTCATTCATTAACTATTTTTTTATTTTTCAGACCGCTCAATAGAAACATAGACACCCTGTAAAAATCAATCCTTAAAAACCAGGGAGATGAGTTCCAGGAAATTCTGAAGCAAATTTTTAGTAATTCAGTTGAAGGGCCTTGCTTCAACACAAGTCGCAGAGGCACGCGGCAGGTAGTGGAGGGCTAGATTCTGTAAACTTCCTGCCAGGTATAGTGGGGTCTAATGATTGGGGGATACTAAGTCATCAGTGAGAATACAGTGAAATAGCTTCTGATACCTTTAAACATGTCTTCTCATTGTTTAAAATACTTGAATATCCCGTAGATATCCTGATTCACAGTTAAGTCCGTGTGTGTGTGTGTGTGATTAATTGTGTGTTTATAATAGCTATTAATTATGAAGTGTAGCAAAGTTGAAACACAATATCAAAGCTTTATAACTTAAGTATTGGTGGTGTCTTTCCTTAAGACATTTTAAGTAATGCTGTCAGTGCCAAAATGCTTCAGATGAATTTTACATTGGAAGTTCATGACCTTTTCTTAAAACATGTTCCTAAAATAGATATATTGCAGTAAAGATTAGCATCTAGGATGGGTCTCTGCTTGCAGACAGCTCTTCTACATGACCTGTGGAACTACTACATGCATAGCCACGGTTTGAACAGTCTCGTACCCTCTATTTTAACACTGATGTTGATTTAGGCAGAAAATATTTGCATTTTAAGTCATTTTTAACATGTCTATGCATGTAGAGTTGACTGATTTTTAGCTAATCATGTCTGTAGTGAGTATTCAACAGCTTCTAAATTGCTGCATGTGGCTATCTCATGCCAAGGACTTCAGCCTGCAGTCTTGGTGCTGAGCATGTGCCATCAAAAAAGAGAAGCCCCAGGCTTACAGCCCAAGAAGACAAAGAAGGTTGTGGAGAAATAATAACCTTGAAAGAACCATGAGTTCTGCAAATGAGTGCCATTTCTTCTAAGAATAGTCACAGATTAAACCGTTTTAATGTGGGTATAGACAAGAGGAGACCGCATATTTCTGCCATGGTGAGTGGTGCCTCCTGAATTCCCTACGAGCTGGTCATTGCACGACAGGAGGCCTTAGAGCTGAGTCTCCTAGAAAAACAACTGGTCTGAATAGTCATTTGGCAATTGGAATGTCATAATGTCAATGGGCAGTGGAAAGAGAGAAAACATGGATCATGAACAGGACAGATGGGTGGCCAGAAGAGCTTTGTGTGAATTTGTCTATACACTGAGAGTCCATGTGTGCTTTCTATATGATGCTGTCTAGGATAACCCACTGGATGGCCATGTATGCTCTCTGTGTGAAGGTGTCTAGAATAATCCACTGGATGGCCATGTATGTTCTTTGTATGAAAGTGTCTCGACTAATCCACTGAGTAGCCATGTGTGGTCTCTATTTGATGGTGTCTAGAATAAGCCACTGAGAAGCCTGGTGTAGTTGGACTTTTTCATTAGGACTTTTGGCTCCCCAATAATGACATGGAGGCATTATTATGAAATCTTGCTCTATAGCTTAGACTTGCCCCACTAACTCATAACTTAATCTATTTCTATTCATCTACACGCTGTCACATGACTCGGGGCTTTTATCTCTCCTCCAGCGTGGCCTCCTCCCATGTGTCTGGCATGTGACTTCTCCTTTCTTCTTCCTGGAGCTCTTTGTCCCCAGAAGTTCCACCTCACCTCTTCCTGTCTAGCCAATGCCATTCAGTCCTTTCTTAAACTAATCACAGTGACATATCTTTACACAGTGGAAAGGAATATTCTACAACATTTCCCCCTTGTTGACTAAATAAAAAGGAAAGGGTTTTAACTCTAACATAATAAAACTATATACAATAAGAACAGCTATCAGGTAAGAATTATATTCATAAGGTCCAGTAAATTTGCATTTGACAAATTTAAAGAAAATAGGCCAATATTAATCCTGTCTTGGTGAGTTCAAAGTTTTGTAGCCAATTTACCTTCCATCATAACTAAGGAAACTGCAAGCAAAACTCTTTAGTCTTCAACTCCAACAGGGACCCCAGAAGGATATAAAATTACCTGCGTAATCAGGGAGTGCAGAGCAAGCAACTTCAAAGCTAAGAACTGATAGAGACATCTGCCTGGACAGTCACCCCAAGTTTTCTTTGCAACATTAGGGCATCCATCTTTGGCCTAAACCTGGTGTGTTCTTGGCATGCCAGGGTCTAAGATAATGAAGTTCTTATCTTTGCATGCACTTTCTCATAAAAGTAGCCCTATTGTTTTTCCCAAGCCCTGTTTAAGTTATTAACATTCTGTCCAGAACCCACACTGATATTAGATTTCCAAGTTTTGGAAAAGTAAAACTTGGAGAAAGAAAAGGGCAATTGAAATACTTCTTTTTTATCACAAAGTATGCCATTTTCATCAGTTTACTGTTCCTAGGCTTCAGTGGCTTTTTCATTTCAGCTTCAAGATGAAGAAAAACACAATGAAGCCTTCCTTTGCTTTGGAGTCATCATTTCTATTTTCTTTAAGGTTTCCATAGCATAATACACTCAAGTCTCTGTCTTCATTGTGCTTTGAGAATTGGCACAGTTCTGTGAAATAGAATCTAAGCCTTGAATGAGACGATGGCATTGCATCCCACTATCCTCATTTGAATGACACAGGGCAAAGCTGAACAGAGATGAAACTGCACATAAGTCCATCCTGTGTGAGGCGTGGCACTGTTCCCAAATGTTGCTCTTCTGAACTCCTTTATGCATCTCACTGGATCGATGGATAGATGTACAGACTCTTCGTGTACCAATGAGCACCTAAGAAATGGGGTTTTGTGTCACAGTGGCATTTGAAATTGGCAGGTTTGATATTAATCTTTCTGTGACATTGTGACCATGAGCGACAATGTCCTTGCAAATGTTCTCTAACAAGATATCCTTACCCACATTGTAAATATCAGGTATGATTCTCAAAGGCTGAGCAAAAGACACTTGCCAACTTTCTATGATGACCTGTTAAGGGTGAACTTTACAGGGACCGGAGAGATGGTTCCATGGTTAAAAGGGACTTGCTACTTACTCTTGTAGAGCATTCAGATTCAGTTTCCACCGTTCACAATGGTTAGTTCACAACTTCCCATATTTCCAGTTTCCAAGGAGTTGATACCCTCTTCTGGGCTTCCCAGACACCGTCTCCCCTGAACGCACATGTCTGTACCCTCACACAGACATACACATACAAATACATTAAAAATAAATCTTTTTAGATTATAGTTTAGGGTTTTGATGGTTCTGTGAAATTTACTTAGGCACACACACACACACACACACACACACATTTATGTAACAATTAAAGGAAAAGAGTCCATCGATTTAAAAAAGATTGGGAGAGGGAATATGTGGCAGGGTTTGGAGGGAGGAAAGGAAAGAGAAAAATGATGTAATTATCTTTTTTAAGTCATGTTTTTCTCTAATGTTAATAATCTATATTTAAATGCAATTGTGCGCTTATCCATACATAGAACATTAATGTAGATCCAGGTTAGTGTGGGAAGGGGAGAAGGGGGAGGAAAGAGAAAATGTTGCTTATTGTCTTTAATGTGTGGATCCTATGTTAAAGAACACACACATGAAAGTAGAGGAGGTGTGGGGGTATGAAGGGACAAGTGGGGAGCAGAAAGGGGCAAATATGAACAATTATACATGTGTATGAAAATGTCAGGTTGACACCCATTGTTGGATATGCCGCCTAAAAAAAAGAACCTCTTACAAAACATCCCACATGGTGTCCTTTGTATGTTGATGAACTGCTGGGCAAATTCTATTGTTTCCATCTGTTTCTAGCCAGGACATGTGGATCTAACCTGCGTGGGCCGAGTGGTATCATCACCTCCCCTAACTATCCCGTGCAGTATGAAGACAATGCTCACTGTGTATGGGTCATCACGACCACTGATCCAGACAAGGTAAGGCTTCTCTACCCATGTGGATGCTGTCCGCAACTGTTTCTGGTTAGCAGACTGCCTGGCCAATGGCTGACCATGGCTAGCTAGTGACCACGCTCCCTCACCTATCCATAGAGTCTAGGCAGGACTCAGTACTGTGTCTTCTGGCAGGCCAGGATGGGAAGCCATTCCGGACACTGGGTACTCTGTGCTGCTTCATTACTGGGCATGTTTGCCACGTCAGGCCTCGCTGCTCAGTCAACCCTTTCCTTCAGCTTGAGTCTGCTCAGTGCCCTTTGCTAGAAACTCCTCTTCTGGATAGAGTCACAGCATTGACTTTTCAGCACGGTTGTCAAGACAAGGCTGTTATTTTTCCCTCCTCTGAAAGTTAGCAGGTCTCTGCCTTTCCCCAGTGTCCTGTCCATATATTAGGTCAAATAGTTCTCACATCCATGATACTTGAAGCTGTGTGTGGTGTCTGTAAATTTAGCACATGCCCTCTGCAATGCTATGGCTACCTCTTACTCTGCAGGCGAGGGGATGGTACTCACAACTTTCCTATTGACTGTGAAGTGAATTGTCTTCAGTGCACTCTAAGTTCACCAAAATTCAGAACGGACTGCGAGGGTCAAATGCCTTCATATTATTTTCATTAAGAAACTGACAACAAAGTATTCTGACACAGATTTCAAATTATGTGAAATAAACGCTATTAAAGGAACAACTTTCTGACAACATAAATTTACTGAACCTCCTATTGGCAGTTTTTTGAGTGGTCTGGCATTTTGTTTCTGTAATGGCCACCTGCCCATTTCTGCCCTCTCAGCAAACTGGTGCATTGCAGGTCCGAGGACAGCCTCCACACCGAGGCAGGCGTACAGAATTCCTGTGTGACAGAGCATCGTCTGTTCCCAGGGCCTGTCCTTGGCACAGTGGATGTCAGCTCTGTACACAGAAGGCGTGTGGGCTTGAGTAGACTCTGAGCATCTGAGCCTGCACTGTCACAGAGACCATAGGAACATTTTCCTTCGCTGGGGGCTAGGACAAATCATTTGCTATGTGAACCTAGTTTTCATAGAAGCATCATCCACTACAGACTATTAGATATAGAAATGGCAAACACACCCAGCAAGAGTTGACTGAGGGGTAAGCCGTTGGGTGTGCATCATTAAGTGTCTGTCAATCCAAGTTTAGTTAAACTAGTGCTAACATGTATACCACGTTCCTGGTTTACAATTGCTTTCCTTGGTTCCCACATCCAGGCATTTTTGAAACATTCTGTTTTCTCTCTATCAAGCTAAGTCATTTGACCTTGAGAACTTAGGAAAGGATTGAAAGTCAGATGGAAATGTTTGGGGAAGAAATTGAAAACAATTGCGTTTGCCTGCTTTGTGGTATACTAGATGTAGAATTGAATTAATGGCAAATATATATTACCTCTGCTGCCATGCAGTACAAGCAAAAATACATGTTTATGTCCTCTCTAAAGAGATGCCATTGCATCCCAAAGTGTCTTATTGTGACATTTATAAAGCATAAAATGTTTTATTTTTGTAATCAAGGAGGTAGGACAACCTCTTTTCTTAGATTTGATTTTAGCAATAATATAACTGAAGGAAATGGATCAATATAAATCAAATGAATGAGTTAGTTAGTGTCTACGTATTCGCTGTGGTTCAGCAAAAAGAAATATGCAAGATCACACAGAAGTAGTGAGCCCCTCATGGGAAGTGAAGTGGTAACCCCACCCAGCATGCGGTCTTCTTGCACACTGTGGCATGTACATCTCTTGTCTCCTGCCAACTCTATACCTGAGCCTCTTCAGTCATTATGGCTGTTGTCTGTGTCTTCCCCAGTGCTACACCACTGGCTGGAGAGAACTCTTAGTGTCCTTTCCATCTAGACACAGCCTAGTGTTTCTATCGTCTTTCAACTATTCAATGAGTCAACAAATTCAGCATCTTTTCATTAGAAAACCATGAAATAATCTAATCGCAGAAGAACCATATCTATAATGATGATAATTTGCAGAACACCTGTGGTTTTAGCCCGTTTTTCTCACTGCGTCTGGGGCAATGAATGGCCCTATAAGAAAGAGTTGGCTTTGGAAGCCATCAGGATAACAAAAACATGTCAGAGTCTTCCTAAGGGCCTTTCCATGGAGAGAGAAAGTGTGCGTGTACCAGTTGTGTATAGGGTCCATGGAGGCACAGACTGAATGATGCATAATTCTTTCACTGGGGAAGAACAAGAGTGATAAAAAGAAGGGTTCAAAAGTCACTGAAAAATGTGTCCTACAGTTGCCTCGCATGTAGACTCATGAAGATGTAGCTCCAGTTGAGAAGGGTGGGGAGGGGAGGCTAAAGAGGAACAGGTCTTGAGTCTCTTGTTCAGTATTCTCTGTCCTCCAGAGCTTCGCCATACATCTTCCCCAGGTGCCATCAGTGATAGGAGAGAGGACAAATCAAAGATGACATTGAACCTGACTTAGTATTTTATTTACGAGTTTTGCACTGTGCTTATCAGGGAGAATGACCCACAGCTTTCCTTTCTGTGTGTCCTAACTTGATTTTGTCGTCTGTGTGGTACTGGCTCCTGAGAATGAGTTTAGGAGAATTTCTTTCTTTTCTGTGTTATGAAATAGCTAGAAGAACAATTGTGTCAGTTCTTCAAAAGTCTGATAAAATGCAGCAGTTAATTAATACAGTCATGGGCTTTTCTCCCATTGGAGACATTTTAATTACCACTTCAATCTCAGTAGCTACTGTTGATCTGTTTGTGGGCTTGTGTCTTCTGTTTTGATGATAAGTCATGTGTGTCTAGGAACTTACCAATTTCTTCTAATTTTATGGTTCATTGTAATTCAATTTATTAGAATTTTCCTTAATAATTTTCTGAATTTTAGTGCTACCTATTGTAATAGAATCTTTGAATCTCTACCTTATTTACTTGAATATCTTCTTCTATTTGGTTGCGTTGTCAAAAGGCTTGTCAGCTTTCTTTATCTTTGGAAAGAACAACTCTTTGTTCCATTGTCTCAGTGTCATTCTTTGAGTCCAAATTTCCCTTATTTCTGCTTTATTGCTGGTTTGGGATTTGGTTGGTGGTTGTTAGAAGGGAAATTCACTATGATTGAGTTGGCTTCATTAGGGGAATGCATCCTATGCAAATCAATGTGTAAAAGATAAATACAGAAATAGCAGTAAGGGTGGAAGTCGAGATGAGCTCAATAGATGCAGAATTAACCTGTGATGAAGTTCAATATCTCCTTATAATGAAAAATCTTTACAAATTAGGGATTGAATGAATGCAACTTAACACAATAAACGTTTCATAAGACAACCCCTTAGCCTATATTACACTGAGTGCAGGAACTCTTAAGTATTTCCTCAGTAATCAGGAATATAAGAAAGATATCTACTTTCTTCACTTTTACTATATATAGTACTTCTTTCTATGCAAGTATTATATTTAACCTAAGTATGGCAATAAGGTTCAGTAAAAAGGAATACAAATGAGAAAGGAAGAAGTGGAATTTCCTTGTTGGGTGATAACAGGACATTATGACTAGAAGACCCTAAACAATACACAAAAAGCAATTAGAAATTATAAATCAGTTTGACAAACAGCAGGATACAAATTCTCACATAGAATCATCTACTTCCCTATAGATGAATACTGCATTCACTGAGTAATAAGATAGCTTAAGAAAGCCATTTTATTCTCAGTAGCCCCTGTAGTGGTTTGAATGAGAATGGTCCTCATAGGCACATATGTTTGAATGCTTGGTCCCCAGTTAGTGGAACAGTTTGGGAAGGAGTGGAAGTTACAGCCTTATTGGAGTGGGTGGGACCTCGTTGGAAGGCGTGTGTCATCTGAGGTAGACTTTGATATCTAAAAGGTTCATATAAGGATTAGCCAGTTTCTGTCTCTGACTCTGTGTCTATCTCTGTCTCTCTCTATCTCTTTCTCTCCCTGCAACTTGATGATATGTGCTCTCAGCGCCTCCCCCAAATACCATACTTGCTCGGCTGTCACCACACTCCCAGTCATGATGGTCATGAACTGGAATTGAAAGCCTCAGTGGAATATCTTCCTCTTCCAAGTTGTCTTCATCATGGTTTCTCCACATAGGAATAGAACAGTGGCAAAAGCAGCCCCTTTGAAATTTAAATCAATAAATCTATGACTGGAGAGTTGGCTCAGAAGTTAAAAACACTTTTCCAGAAGACTCCAGTTTAACCCCCAGCACTCACATGGTAGCTCACCATTGTCTGTAGCTACAGTTCCAGCAGGTCTGGTGCCTTTTACTGGACCTCTTGAGTATTGCACTCACATGGTATATAATCATTCATACAGGCAAAACACCCATACACACAAAATGGAAATAAACGCATCTCAAAAAAAGAATAAATCTAACAATGAGGGTAAAAGATCCATTAAAAAATCCATTAAACTGCAAAAATCAAAACTGAGTAAGATTTTTTTTTCAGTAGGAAGAATCCAGATACAAGGATTGAAAGGAATAGTGTTAAAATGACCAAATGACGAAATGCAATATATAGATTAAATGAGAGTCCCAGAACAATATAAATTATGTTCTTCACATAATAAGTAAAACCTACTAAACATCAGTGCAGATGTATCAGACCCTGAATAGCTAAAGAACTCTGAGCAAGAGAGATATTCTGAGGCATCCTGACTACCAACTTCAGCATGTGTAACATACACACAGCCATGGTAGCCAAAACATCATGGATTAGGTACAAAACAGATCAACAGAACAGAAATCTCAGAAGTAAAATTACATGGGGATAATCACCTACTTCTTGATAAGATAACCCCAAACACTGGAGGATTAATGATCTCTGGATCATATAGTACATGGAAAAGCTCACCCTTCACATACATCACACATGGAAAGCCATAAACAAGCCACTCTTGGCCACCACATGCAGAAATAAACTGTGCTGATCACAAGCTTATTGAAGACCCAGACTCTCAGAACTCACTGGGAAAGC